CCTCGGCGCGGAGCTGCCTGCAGCGCGCGTCCCCCGCGGGGTGCGGCGGCCACCTGGAGGGCCCCCGATCGCGCCTTCTCCCCCGAGCTTTCCCAGGGCGTAGCGAGCGGGGCCCCCACGCCTGAGCCTTGCGGCCCGCGGCACCACCGGCCAAGCTGCCCCCATCTGGCGACAGATTCCTTCAATTCTATCTGCACGTGTTCTTTACCTTTAGTTTTGGTACTAAGGACTTGATCGCTGTCACGATCTATGTCCCTGGCCCCAAACCGCAATTTCGATTGTGTTTAATCCATTCCTTTAATGCTATTCTTAATGTAGTTCGATTTACATTAGTTTTCCTGTCGCCCTGAACAATATAGATAATTCTTACATCCATATGGATTGATCTCTGGATTTCATTTGGGTTTTTTGTTGTTGTTTCTCCTGTATTTTAGGGAAGGGTCTACAGAGTGTTCAGGGTCTCACTGCATAGATTGGACTCTTAGTGATCCGCCTTTTTACAGCCTCCCAAGAGCTGGGATTGCAGGTGCACACCACCACGCCTAGTCTCAATCTTTGACTCAGCGTGCCCCAGGGGCGGGGACTGCACGGCAGGCGCTTTAATCCACTGAACTGTTTGGCCGGCCCTTCGTTTGTACTGTTATTCCTTGGCATTTGTTGTTGCATTAATATAGATTCGTAATATATGTTCGTGTCAGGTGATGATAGCTGCCCCTGTTATTCTTATAATATAGAAGTTTCTTTGGTAATTTTCTTGGGTAATGCATATTTTTTTGGTCTTTAGAAAGAATTTGAAGGGCCAAACAAATAGATCAGCGGATTAAAGCCCCCACAGGCAGGCGAAGGGCCCTGGATGTTCAGTTCAGATTGAGACTGGGTGTGATGCGAGCCCATAATCCCAGGTCTTGGGAGGCAGCCAACAGGTGGATCACTATGAGTCTGATCTATGCAGTGAGACCCTGTAGACCCTTCCCTAAAATACAAGAGAGAGAGAGAGAGAGAGAGAGAGAATTTGAGAATATTTAGGATTTGCTCTCTTCCATTGCAAATTATGCATGTTGAGATTTTGATAGGTAGATCAGAATTTAGAGGGTAGTTGGGAGGGAAATGGTGACTTGTAATGAATTACATGGTGTGTGTAATTCTCCTGTGTGCCTTTCCAATTTTTTTTTTTCTTATAAATGCTACATATTTCTTATAAATTCTGTGTGGTTCCTTTTTAAGTGAGTGTAGATACAAAGTATCACACGCAGGTGGCAGCAAGTAAAATTGATGGGGAGTTTCACACCACTTATTGAATTGGGTGTGTAATTCCTAGGGTGTGGCTGACTCATGGAAAGTGCACCCCCCCATTGTCTTTTTCCTGAATGTAGTTTCTCTTGTGCCTGCTTGCTGGATTTCACCCCTTTGTACTAATACTGCTATCTCCTTACATGTTACAGTGGTACGTACGTGCACTGATCTCTATATCAGTGTCTATGCTGGGGGATTATCAGCCAAGCTGTTTGCCCAAATGAATAATAGCAACTCTCCCTCCATCTTCAGTTCATGAGTTTTCAGTTGTCATATGTCTTCCTCAGTACTGGTTCTTTGGCTACCTGCACAATGTAATTTTGTGTTTCTCTAGTTTCTAAAGATACTGAGATTTTTGGTAACTACTGAACATTTGGTATCTCATGTGAAGTACCTTTTCAGGTCTCTTGTCTGCCTTTCTTCCGGGGTCTCTGGCCTTTCCTTACTTAAAGTGTTTAGTGAGGTCTGGGGAGATAGCTCAGCGGCATGTGCGTCTGCCTGGCAAGTGCAAGGTCACGGAGTTTGATCTCAGTATTTCATGCTGGAACTGGGCGTGGTGGTGCACGCCTGTGACCTCAGCTGTAGGGAGGCTAAGACAGGAAGATCACTATGAATCCAAACTGCGTAGCAAGGCCCTGTATCAATAAATAAATATTGGGCCAGGGAGATAGCTCGGCAGTCTAAGTGTGTGATGACAAGCCCAAGGACCTGGGTTCAATCCACGTTAACACATGCCATGCTGAACTGAGCCAGCCATCAAAACTAGGCGTGGTGGTGCACGCCTGTAATCCCAGTTGAGACAGGAGGATCACTGAGTCTTAGCTGCATAGTGAGACGCTGGACCAAATAATATTTTATAATTAAAGTGTTTTTAGTCATGTGAGGCAAAAAAATTTCTCCCTACCTGGTACTTCTCTTTTCCACCCTATAATAATTTTGTTTGATGAATAGAATTTCTATGTTAATATGGCCCAAATTTATGCATATTTTCTTATTTAATATTGTTGCTTATTTAAATTCATTTAAAAATAAATTCCTGGGCTGGCAAGATAATTCAGAGGACTAAGTGCCTGCTTAGGCAAGTACGGTGTCCAGGGTTTGATCCCCTCACCCTACCCTCAGGCGTGCTGAGCTGGCCACTGAGACCAGGTGTGGTGACACACGCCTGTAATCCCAGTGCTGGGAGGCTAAAAACAGGAGGATCACTACAGTCTGAACCGATAGTGAGACCCTGTAACAAATACATTAAAAACACAATAAAAATAAATTCCTGAGAAAACTTTTGAATGTATTATAGTTTGCTTTTATAATTAGATATCTTAAGTGTTGTGTTTTTAATTCAGATGGTCTAGTAATCTCTTTGTTCGATGTATGCTGATTGATAACATACAGTCATGTGCTGCATAATGATGTGTTCATATGTTTGTTGAGGCAGGGTCTCACTGTGTAGGGTGTTGTTTTTGGTCTTTTTGAGATAGGGTCGTGTATAGCTGTGCAGTTCAGGCTGGTCTTGAGCTCACTTTGTAGCCCAGGCTGGTCTCAACTCCAAGGATCCTCCTACCCCAGCCCCAAATTCCTGGGATTACAGGAATGTGCTACCACACCCAGCTTCACTGTGTAGTTTAGAGTGACCTCAAATTTGCTGCTTTTCCTGCCTCCACCTCTGAGTGTTGGGATTACAGGCATGTACCACCATGCCTGGTTTTTTAATGATGGACTACATATGACAGTGGCTAGTGGGTGGTAGACTGTGACATCTGGTTTGTGTGAGTATACTCTATTGCCTTTCCCAGAGTTGGGCATAGTGGTGGATGCCTGTAATCCCAACACTTAGGAGACTGAGGCAGGAGGATTCCTGTGAGTCGGAGGCCAGCCTAAATTGCAGTGAGACCTTGTTTCAAAAAAAAAAAAAAATCAAAGTTCTCTTGCCTGGAATGTGTCCCCTGTAAACTGAGCACAAGTTTTCTTGTGAGTGCGCTCATGGTCTCTCCCCCACCCCTCTTTCTCTCGCTCCCTCTCTTCATATATATGTATGTATGTATGTGTATATATAATTTAATACATAATTGATATGTGTAATTTTTCATTATCAAGTTTATCAGAATTCTCAGATTCATTAATCTTTTAAAAGAACCAGTGTTTGGCATTGCTGTTCTCTGTGGTATGTTCATTTTCAGTGTAGTTACAATTTGTTCTTTTGCTAAGGACTCTCCACTTATAAAATTTGCCCTTTTCTAAGCTACTGGAGTGATTAATGGATTCTTAGTTTCTCTTATCTATTTAAGTTTGTATCTTTCCTTTATAACTTCAGGTTTGTGTGCATCCTTTTACAGATTTATTGAAATACAGTTGACATAATCTGCATATATTAAGATATATTTTTTCTTTGACATATATGCATCCACGCAGCCAGTGTCATAGTTAACATAACCAACCAGGGTGTTTCCTAGCGCCCTTCTCTTCTGGGCATAGTAATTACAGAGTCCTCTATATGATTCTGAGAACAAAATGAATCCATTTGTGATCCATTGTTTATTTTACCCAGCTTGTTTACACTGTATTTAAAGAGCTTTATTAGAGTTCATTATTTAAACTGGGAAAGGAAAAAGAAATTGAACATTCAGAGTAAGATATGCAAGAAAGGAAAGCTTGGCATGCTGATGTGAACAGGTTATAACACGTGAGCGCTATCTTGGCTTAATGTAAACTTGCCTCTGATCTTACTAGTACCTGAACAGACCTAGTTTTTGTACAGCTTCAGGTGACTTTAGAGGAAGTGACTCATGCTGAATTGTTATAACATGGCCTTGAGAAAGTGGTGGGAGAAAGTGTCTGGGCGAGGCTGCAGCTGCTGTGGAGACTCCGTGAGCTTAGAGGTGCCAGGAACTGGGAATGTGTGTTGAGGAAAGCAGGAGGCAGTAAGCAGTGCCCGCCCAGGAGTTGGGCCAGGTGAAAAGCAACCGGAAGGCCTTAGGCGCTGGGCTGGCCAGACCCTGGAGCTTGCGTCTTGCTACTATATGTGTAGATCCGATGATGACCTAGATCTGCAGCAGGTGATGTCGGCCCTGATAGCTTTTGGCCCTGCTTTAGTCAGATACTTCTTGTTGCCCTACTTTTTTTTTTTTTTTTGCAGAACTGGGACATGAACTCAGGCGCTTGCGCTTGCCAGGGAAGCGCTTATTCCATTGAGCCATCTCCCCAGCCCTTGTTGCCCTTCTCTTCTGGGAATGGTAACATGTACTCTGAGCAATCATGTGTTGGAAGTTTGCAACTTTGTTTTCTTTTCACAAGGACTCAGGCCTAAGAGCTGCCTTCAGTCCAGAGACTGCACTTGGACTTGAGCAGGCTGAAGTTGGTGAGACTTAATGCTTTGT